AGAGAGAGAGAGAGAGAGAGAGAGAGAGAGGGGGAAGTTCTTTACAAAGGCAAGGCTGAGGCATTATACAGGATCTGGGACCCACTCCCAACATTCCACAAAATTGATGCCATCCTATGGATATTAGCTCACATCACAGGTGATAAATGCATTTGTGGGTGTGGGAATGCAGAGCACTGGCCAGTACTTGAGATACTAAAAGCATTATCTTGGGGACCAGCAAGATTGAAAGGCTGGAGGGATGAGAAAAAGACATCATTTGAGACTAGGTCAGTAGGGACTGAAATTGGACCAATGTTATTGAAAGGGCTTAGGTTAAAAGCTACAGCCCTTTCTCATTTGCAGACCCTTAAAAAAAATTCAAAATGGGAGGTGTGGACCCCTCTAAATTGTAAGTGTGGGTATTCACACACTTGATTGATCATAGTCATCTTTTGTGGAGCCCTTACACATAGTCTGTGCAGCTCTAGGGGTCTGCAGGACACAGGTTGAAAATAAAATAAAATCAAAATCGCTGGTCTACAGGGTAGGTGTGAAATTCTAGAGACATGAGGAGCTTGGATACTGTCTTTTATTGTGAGCCATTTTTATTTGTTTTTTGTTTAATTAAAAAGAGTTAATTACCTGAAGCATAAGGTGGTCCCATGTCCTCGTGACTCCTTCACTCATCCACTTGTCATCATTGTTGAGTGGCTCTGGGTTCTGATACTTCTCCAGCATTTGCTTCAGGAAGAGATTGCGAGTGAACTACGATATAAAACAGGACAGGTTGCATACACCTTGTTAGGAGGTTCAGAGAAGAAAAAAAAAAGTGGGGCAGACCCCTCCACCATTGGAAGCGAGCCACACAGTGTTTGGGGCCAACAAGTTGTCCTAACTTCTAGCATTAGATTGGGTTAAAAAACCCCAAAAAACCAAATAAAATTAAGTAAATCTGGCATAACCGACAGATCCTGAAGTATAGCTTTTGAATGTCTTCAGAGAGATTCCTTGAGAGAAGGCATGGACAAATTTGTTGCGATTAAATTCCAATGCAGAAGTTAACATAGGCAGTCTTTTCCCCTGCCATCAGTTGTGAGAACCCAGTTTTATTCCCACCCCCCACATCAAGTCATGTCTTCCCTCTGCCCCCTACAACAGGGCTATCAATCTGTATCTGAAAAATGTCATACAAAAGGCTCCGTCAGCATTCAATTTCAGTGTGCATGAATAGAGCACCCCATTTCCTGGATTGGAGGAATGGTATAAACACGCTCCAGAGACCGCACCATCCTTCCACGTTCAGCCCTTGTTATCTAAAGTAACTAGCCCTCCTTGGGTTTCCTTTCCTTCTGCCTGGAACATGTACAGAAGTACCAGAAGCTGTTAACACTACCTCTCCACCCTTTTCAACTTGCACTCTCTAGCAAGAATATGCATGGGGAAACAGATACTCACAAAGTCTCGATGAGTTGCTGCTGTGATGCAAGAGGCAGTCTCAAAGGCATATGTGATCAACATCAGGATGATATACTGGGAGACAGCAAGAGCAGAAGGTACTGTTATCTCTCAGACCCAAGATACTAGGAAGCAAGTCAAGGGACTAGCAGACTCCTCCAGGGCCAAGTCCAATCCCCTGCTGAATAACCCAAGCTCCATAAGAGAAGTTTCTGTCCTTATGACTCCAGTTTCAGGGGGAAGGCAGGGGGGACAACAGTAATCAGGACATACCTGCTACAGTTCTAGAGGTGGCAGTTGAAACCTTACTCCATGCTCCTACCAAAGGTTACCTAAGCTGACCCACCTGGAAATAAGGCTCTGGTCATTTAAGCTGGACACTCAAAAGGCAGGACCTGATGCTGGCCACAGGACTCCCTTATGTGCCACTGGATGCAAAACTGGTGGGCCTTAAACCAGAGCATCAAATAGGCTTCCAATTCTAAGCAACTAGGACTGTTTTGGGACAACCTTCTAATGACCACCACTCTGAACATTAGGGGCTTCAGTTCATTCATAGCCTTTTGTTCTTGTGCCAGCCTTAGGCTGGAGGACAGAACTCATTCACTTTTCTGGTGTTTACCCCCCACAGACAGCAATCAGATCCCCTTCTAGCCCATGAGTTTGCCACACTAGTCAAGTACTGCTTTAGCCTCCTCTTATGATAAGCTTGTCATCCCCCAATCATCCTAGCAACCTCTTCCGTTTCCCTCTCTTCAAACATGGGTGACCAGATCTGCACACAGCATTCCAAACGG